TCGTGTGTTGCTGATCCCATCTGCTGTGTCTTACTTTCACAGGCGGCTGTCGAAAGCTCTTCCTCAAACGTCTGCTGGCTATGTTTTCTACTGAAGCTTTTCATTTTGGTGTGTGATGTGAAGAGTCTTTAAACTTATTTATTTTTCAATCAGGTTCTTCAATACTGTCCACTAAATAATTAGTGCAAACTTTTTATTGGGAAAAGACAGTCACGAGGGTGCATGCTACAGAAACAAAGGCTACTGTACATACTGTTTCTGCACATGAAGCAACATGTAGAGTCCAGAGAAAATGGCAGAAGTTCCAATCTGATAATTAAGAACCATATGAAGTAATTTCTCCTGTTTCATTTATATGTGTTTGTAACAAAGGCTGAAAAAACTGATAAAGTTGATGACAAGTAGACAGTAAGGGTCTTTGATATCCTGGGCCTGTCTATGTAGTATTGAGTCTCAACTAGAATTCAAAGTGATTTAGAAAAAGTTATTTTTAATCAAATATCTGTATAACACAGAGCTAGGTTAGCATACATTAATAAAAACAAACAAACAAACAAAAACAAAACAAAAGAAAGAGGACTCTTACCCTCCACATTTGAAAATCTAAACATTGATTAAGACAATATCATTCCAATTAATCTTATCCTAGTAATAGAGGAATTGCAGAACTTCAAGTTATAAAGACCCAGCCCCAGAAAGATGTAATTAAGACACCGTTAGGAAAATGAGTAGGCATACCATATGCTGAGAAAATATATTTGCAATCTGACAAAGGACATATATCCAGATACATAAAGGACTTTGACAAATCAACAATAAAAAGACAAACAACCTAATTTTAAATAAACAAACTATCCAAAGTGATACTTTACAAAAGGACAGACAAGTGGACACGAGACACATGGAGGTTTCCAACACCAGTCATCAGGGAAATGAAAGGAAAAATCACAATGAGATACCATTTAACACTCGTTTGTACAAAATACAATGCCACATGTTGTGAGGGATGAGGGATGAGGAGTAACTGGAACTTGTATATATTACTGGGGAAAATAAAAATGGTAGAATCATGTTGGAGAACTGTTTGGAAGTTTCTTAGAAAGTTAAGCAAACACTTCACCATGTGACTCATCCTTCCCACTAACAGTACATTCTACCCAGGACGCAACACTCACGTTGCTTTCCTTTCTCGCAAATCTTCCATGTCTTTATTTTACTATTCTCATGTTTCTTCTAGTCCCTCTTGTTCCATTTCAAATTAATTCTCCCTAATTACCCATGAAGAGACTAATTGCTTCCACATTTATTCTAAATGCCTAAATAAGATGGCAACTATTTTTGACAGCTACAGATGTTAGTTATATGTCAAGAGTAACAATGAAAAATCGAAAGGGAGAAAGTGAAACTATCATTATTTGCAGATGACATGACATTGTACATAAAAAACTCTAAAGACTCCATCAAAAATCTACTAGATTTAATCAATGAATTTGGCAAAGTAGCAAGATACAAAATTAACATCAAGAAATTGATGGCATTCTTATACACCAATAATGAACTCATAGAAAGAGAAACTAAAAAACAATCCCATTTACCATTGCAGCAAAAAAAATTAAGATACCTAGAAATAAACTTAACCAAAGAAATAAAGGACCTATTTGCAGAAAACTACAGGACACTGGAAAAAGAAATAGAGGAAGATATAAAAAAGTGAAAGTATATATCTTGTTCATGAATTGAAAGAAGTAACGTCATTAAAATGTCCATACTACCCAAAGCAATCTATAGATTCAATGCAATCCCCATTAAAATACCAATGACACATTTCACAGAACTAGAACAAAAACTTCAAAAGTTTATATGAAACCAAAAAAGACCCCGAATAGCCACAATAGTCTTGAAAAAGAAGAACAAAGTAGGTGGAATCACAATACCGGATATCAGGTTATACTACAAAGCCATTGTAATCAAAAGAGCCTGGTACTGGCACAAGAACAAGCATATAGATCAATGGAAAAGAACAGAGAACCCAGAAATTGACCCAAGACATTATGCTTAATCAATATTTAACAAAGGAGTAAAGACAGCCTTTTTAATAAATGATGTTGGGAAAATTGGACAGCTACATGCAAAAAAGAAAAAAGAAACTAGACCATCAACTTACATCATACATAAGAATAAACTCAAAATGGATAAAAGACTTTAATGTGACTAGTGAATCCATAAAAATCCTAGAAGAAAATGTAGGCAACAAAATTTCAGACATCATACGCAGCAGAATTTTCACTGATACAATGCCTGAGGCAAGAGAAACAAAGGAAAAAATGAATAAATGGGACTACATCAAACTAAAAAGCTTCTGCACAGCAAAAGAACCATCAAAAATAGAAAGGGAACCCATTATATAGGAGAGCATAATTGCCCATGATACATCAGATAAGGGGTTAATTTCCAAAATATATAGAATACTCATATAACTCAACAAGAGGAAGACAAAGAACCCAATTAAAAAATGGGCAGAGGAGCTGAATAGACACCTCTCCAAACAGGACATACAAATGGCCAAGAGACATATGAAAACATGTTCACCATCACTAATCATTAGAGAGATGCAAATTAAAACTATTATGAGGTATCACCTCACACCTGTCAGAATGGCCGCCATCAACAAATCATCAAACAAGTGTTGGCGAGGGTGTGGAGAAAAGGGGACTCTAGTACACTGCTGGTGGGAATGCAGACTGGTGCAGCCACTATGGAAAACAATATGGTGTTACCTCAAAAAGTTAAGAATTGAACTGCCATTTGACTCAGTGATTTCACTTCTAGGAATATATCCTTAGAAGCCTGAAACACCAATCAGAAAGAATATATATACCCCTATGTTCATAGCAGCACTATTTACAATTGCTAAGATCTGGAAACAGTCTAAGTGTCCATCAGTAGATAAGTGGATAAAAAAGCTGTGGTACATTTACACAATGGAATGTTATGCAGCTGTAAGAAAGAAAGATCTCTTATCCTTTGAGACGACATGGAGGGACCTGGAGAGTATTATGCTAAGTGAAATAAGCCAATCAGAGAAAGACAAATACCACACGATCTCACTTATTTGTGGAATATAATGAACATAAAAATTGACCCAGAACATAGAAAAGAGTACGGTTCAGACTGACAAACTTCAGAGGAGGGGGAAAGTGGGAAGGGATGAGATAAACCAAAGAACTTATATGCATGTATATGTAACCAATGGACATAGACATCAATGCTTGGCGGAGGGGGTAGGGTGGGCAGCAGGATAGGAAGGAGGGTGTCGGGTGGGGAGGAAGGAGAAACATCTGTAACAACAATAAGAAAAGAATGACAATGAAAATAGAATATATACCAATTTAAGAAATACAATATTTAGATTTAAATTTTTTTCTTGTATAAATAATTTAGTCTTTAATAATTGAAAGAAAACAACATCATAGTCATTTGAAAAGTTCATTTATTATATACCAATATACACTTTCTGTAATAAAAAAGCCTCCCAATATACTGAACCATCTTATAAATGAAATAAGAAAATAAAAATTTCATCTGTTTATAAATGGGGTTAAATTAACCAGTACAAGATACCATATGTATATCTGCCCTGCAGTCTCTGTAAAGTCATCATGAAAATGGCCATAAGAAAGAAATGGTGCTTTATCATTTGTCACTATAGTATTGCTCTTGAATATTTATATAATTACACATGTTGATATTTTCAAGTTAGTAATTTTAAATGTAAAATATTCAAAATATATACAGATTTTACAGTTTTCCATTGTTTGGGATTAATCATTGATATTTACATTTAAAAACATTCAGATTAAACAATTTTTAACACTCAGAAAGTATCTTTTCCACTTGCTATCCCTTTGGATGAATGTAAATATATCTTAAAAATGCTATTTGGCATTTTTTTCCAATAATAGTAACTTAAAAGTTATGATAGTTTCTAAGTAATGTTCAATTTCCATAACAAAGTACACCATTTTACAGTATTATGCCTCTAGAAAATAATACATAAAACAAATACATATTTTTAAAGCATGTTCCAGAAAAACAATTGAAATATGATTTAATATTATCATATTTATATGATACTTATATTTCATACTTGGCTTTACTAAAACATAAAATATAGAAAAAAAAATGGTCCTGCTACTGATTTGGAAAAAAAAAAAAAAAGTAGCAAACTCCAGAAATTCCAGGCAGTAAGTACTAATTTTTAAATCCATTTCATGCATGTTGTAGAAGTGAACAAGAAAGTTTCTTTCTCTTTGTAGTGTTAGCACTCTTATTTTTATAGAGAACCACTCAATATTGTATTAAATGGCAAATAAATGCCAGCAAACACCTGTGTAAGATAAAATGAACTCATTGCTATTTTAGATATGCTAAATTAAATAAAGATTATTATTAATTATTTGCAAATAAGAACTCATTTTCTTTTAGATAATTATGATATTATTTTGAAAAGAATTACTAAACTATATATAACTTAGGTTTCAAATTTAAAATATCCCCAATAGACAGATACATACAAATGGATTTTTGAGCCCATCAACCTAATTCCCTGTGCCCCCCCCCCAAATAATATAAATGTTTTGACTGTAATGAGAGCAAAACTACACATGTAAAAAATAAAAATCAAATGTACCATACATTAAAATTCTGATGACTACAGAATACGATTATATACACAAACATATAGCAATCACAGTTTCCTGCACTGAATGTTTATCAAATAAAAATGTATCAAACAATACTGGGTAGTGTACCTCCACATGAACCGTGGCTGTCTAAAACTTCTGAATGAGAATGGAAGACAGAGGGAGAGCATTGTTCAATGATAAAAGCATGAGAAGAGGACTAGGAATAACAGTAAAAAGCAAATGCTTCCCGAACAGGCAGTTCAGCTCTAAGCATTATTTTTGTTGTTGCACTAGAATTTAAATAAAACCCCTCTCTTAACGTTTACAAAAAAGTCTAAATGAACAAGTCACTAATTCAATTTCACAAACAGGATGAGCAAGCTATTGTTTTAATGTTGACAATAAGATATTCTTGCCTGGTGTCTGATCCTTCATGTACCTTACAGGGACAGATCGTAAGACATGCCTTTTGTTGCTGTTATAAAATAAACCCGGAGTATATGGTGCAAGATTAGGGGAAGGCATTAAGTGGTGATAGTTTTGCCACCAGGGCATTTTGTTTGATGTTCTGAGAATACAAGTATTGGGTACTTTGGGGAGGGGGAAAGGGCTATCTGGTGACTATTACACTCAGCTACCCTTATCCTGCTTGTACAGCAGCAAAAATATATCATCTTATACTCCTCTAGCAAAACCTGGTAGAAATGTACACCACAGATTTTTAAGCACATAAACAGCCATTCTTGACCAAAATGATGATTTTTCTCTTCTGCAGGTGTCTGGTGATGTTACTAGTAAACGTCTTTGGAATCTTCTTGTCATTTCCTATGAACAATATTCCAATCATTGGGGTAAAACAGCTCACATGTCCTTTGGAGCATGTTTGCAACCACTTCCAGTAGAAAAAGAAAGTATTTTTCCTTTGGGCTAGTGATGCTTGGCATATGGAGGGTTGTGAATCCAGTCAATGATAATGAGTGCCATGCTTCCACTCATGAAGATGATGCCCATCACAAGGAAAATTAAAGCCTGTCAGTCAGAGAGAACGCGTTAGGGAACACAGAAACCACACTTACTTAGCAAAGCTTGTACTAAGTCAGTAAACAGTCAATTATTTACCTAAGCCAGCAATCTGATTTGCATATTGAATTATAGTATTCTTATAACTCAGATATCCATGCTCAGCAATTCAGTCAATTTAGAACCCCAGTTGGGGAAAGAGGGTGAGTGTATTGGAGAGATGTAATCCAAATGTTCAAAATATAGTAATGGTTCATTGACTTGGTACATCACAATGAAGCAATACACTGTGATTAAAAATCAAGTAACAGAAAACAATTTAATGACCTAGGAAAAGCTCACAATCTTTTAGGTGAAAAAGGCAGGTCATAAAACAGTATAGTATGTGTGATATAATGAAAATTTATAAAGCAAACAAATAAAAATAAAATGATATGTTGTATATTCCTTGGGGGGAAAAAAAACAGAGAGAGAGAGAGAGAGGGTGTGTAATACTATGTTTTAGAAAAGTAACACTAGAAACAGACTTATATAGTACCACACAGATCAGCCTCCTACTTCTACATATGAGGAAGCAGTTGCTAAAAAATTTTTTTCACTAGAAAATATCTATGACATAATTTTACTTATTTTTACATCTGATAAAATGGAAAATGGGTCACAAATAGGACAAGTAACTTGCCAAGGTCACACTGCTATAAAGCCCAAGCAAGATGGACTACATAGAGTAGACATTTGGGGGGGAGAGGAAATTTTGGTGTACAGGTTTGATACCAAACTGTCCTGAAATCCCTGAACAACCCCAAGAGGTGAATGACTCGCAGGCAAAATTCAGGGTAATTCAGGAAGAGGCATTCTTTTTGAGCCTTCATATAAGACTTTATTAAGCAATCACTGATAATATTTAATTATTGGAAAAATAATTATTTCTAGTCTATTTTTGTAGTTCTATAAGGAAAAACAACTACATACTCTCTAGTTTAATGGAACTATATTTTATATCTAAAGAGGTGCACTGGAAAACGAACGCTTCTGTTCTGGATCTCAGGCCACACCACAGGACAACGAGGTCCTATGGAGGGGAAAACAAAAGCAACATCTTTTCTTTTGGCCTTACAAAACAACAAATGTTTAAATTATTCCATAACACTGCTAGGGAGCCTAACTTCTTCCTGCGTAATTTCCCACAGATAGTGCAGCCAAAGCTGAGAGGTGGAAACCGGTACACGTGTGCCTATGGGAAAAGGCCATTCGCTCTGACAGACAGGAGGAACTCAACACGAGGTGTCTGACACTTGAAGAGAAAGACGGCTGAAATCATCTGAGGGCCAGAACGCCAACCCTTCTCTCTCCACCAGGGAATTCCAGCTCGTCTTTGATTATTCGTTCTTGTTCATCAGTTGTTTTTTTGAACCATGTGTATTTTCTGGTTTATTCTAAGTAGTCAGAGAACAACTTATAATGGGGGAAACTGCAAGCCTTACTTACCCCAACCTTTTGGGGTGACCGAAGAGGTTCTTTCTTGACAAGTTTAAGATAAAAAGCTGCTGGGAGAATGAAAATCAGCATAGTGGCAGAAGAAGCCCCTGAGGAGGGAAACACGGACAGGTCAATGTCTTGAACAGCAGGTCTGGCTCAGCAAGGCAGAGGCTGAAGGCACGAACCTTAAAGACACCAAATCTAAAGCTACCCTAATCTGCACTAAATCCACTAAAATACCCTCTGGATTGCTTATTCAAAAAAGATATGTTTATAAAGAAAATTAAAATGTACCTAACATCATAGCTGCATACTAAGTATACATAACCTGTAATCAATACTAAAACAACCTAATGTTACACATTAACAGGAATTTAGTAATACTATCAATATCTCTTAAGGAGGCGGAACTCGTCACACACCTTTCCTATCTACTTCTAACTGGCAAGTGGCTTACACTTAAGTTTTAAAAGTTTTATACAGTATTGTATTTAAAATTGGAGTAATTCCTCAAATCAGTGGAATAAAAAAATTAAGTATACTAACAGGCCACACAGGAAAGGGAAATAACATGCTTTACAAAATCAATCTCCTCCTCTGAAGATACTCTAATGCAGGGCTAATACTCAGAGACCTGAGAGAGCATCCTGTAGGCAAAATCTGTCTTCCTTATTTTTTGATTCAGAGTTAGGACCTAAGTGCAAATTCTGGGTGCATTGCAAGGTATATGACTTGACTTCTATGGGGCTCAGTTTCCTCGTCTGTCAGAAAAAGCAGCTGGACTAGATGACCTATAAGGTAGCTTTTGGCACTAACAGTTTCTGATCATGGGAGTAATTTCCAGTGTCACCTGAGAGGAAGGGAAGGTGACAGCTGGACCCCACTGGACTAATAGGAATCCTGTGAGCCTGAGACAGATGGGGATCCGTGACCTCCCAGCAGAGGCCCCCTGTTTGCCATTTAAGGAGCTTTCAGCTTGAGTTGACTAAATAAAAAGGTGAAGGAATTAAGAAGTACAAATTGGTAGTTACAAAATAGTCAAAGATCGATATAAAGTACAGCATGGAGAATATAGTCAATAATATTGTGATAACTATGTATGGTTTCAGATGGGTACTGGAAATTTCAAGGGAACACTTCATAAAGTATATGATTGTCTAACCTCTATGCTGAAATTAATACAAACTAATATTGAATGAAAATTGTAAAAAATAAAATAAAATAAATGGAAAAAAAAAAGAAAGCCTTTCCAAAACTTACCTATAAATCCAAAGATGTATTTTATAGTTGGCACAAGGATGACCATAACATTATTAAGCACAATAAGAATGGTTGCAATCACGATATGTCTTATCCAGCTGAAGGGTCTTCTGGGAAATAACAATGTGGTCACTGATGTACGAATCTGCAATAAGAAAGTTCAAAGTCAAGGTCACTGCTTTGTTTTTTACTTTATCTATAATTTCAAATATTTTCATTGCTCTGGAGCATTTTCTTTGTTTCTCTTTATTCTCCCAGAAAAGACCTTGATGCTGATTTTTTATTTTATTTTATTTTTAATCTTCTCTCGAAGATACGTTTCCATTTATCTTCAGATAGAGTGGGAGGGAGGGAGAGAGAGCGTAACATCGATGTCAGAGAGACACATTGACTAGTTGCCTCCTGCACAACCCTGACCAGGGCCGGGGACTGAACTGTAACTGAGGTACGTGCTCTTGACTGGAATCACACTTCTGACTCTTTGGTCCACAGGCTGACACTCTAAACGCTGAACCAAACCAGCCAGGGTGATGCTGATATTTTTTTTAAAGAATTTTTTTATTGTAGCAAAATACACATAATATAAAATTCACCATCTTCACCATTTTTAAGTGTACAGTTCAGTGGTATTAAGTAAATGCATATTGTTGTGCAACCTTGATGCTGATTTTTGATGTGTTATTTTTCCTTGGTGTATTTATCTTGTGCTCACTTTCTCAGCTTTCAGAATTTTTTCTTAAAAATCATCTCAGTCGGAAAGAGATAAAATAACAGATAAGAGATATAACTCAGAGACATAGTAAAACCCTTGCTGATTTCTAATTGTGTCTCATCAGACTGGATCAAGTATTAAGGACGAGCACTGAATTGATTCACATGGGATTGCAAATGGTTTTCCTTAATTTTCATTGTATGTGACATTTTTTTTTCCACCTGATATCTTTTTTAAAATGATACTTTTTGTGTTTACTCCTTTCTCTTTCTCCCCTTTTATTCTCCCCACCCCCAATTACAGATTATAAATGCATAAGAGACAAAGAACAGGACCTAATAATGCTAACTTTCCTCCAAATTTCTAGCTTAGAGTCTTGTACACAGCAGGCACTCGATAAGTGTAGAATTAAACAGGGCAGAAGGAATCTTTCCCGTCCCTTCAGGATCCTTGACAGATTTCAGCCCTATTTTAGGGATTGAAATAAGTAGGTGAAGGGTCAAGAGAGGCTCCTTTAGCAGCGGCTGCTCAAGTTACTCTGATGTAACCGGATGAAAAGATCCTTGTGAGTAGCAGGAGGGAGTGCCAGTTATGTCTGAACAGCTTAACAACGTTGAAAATACTCTTATCTTTGGGATCTTTTAGAAGGCACTTTTGACTTAGTGGAATTAGTCTATCAGCTTTTCAAAAAATGAGCACTTCATTTAAGCTGGGCTTCACATTTTTAGAAATGTGGGGATTGACTTCACTTTAAAATGTTACTCCTGAAATCTCTTAATGGCACAGAGAGAGGAATTTACTTAAAAGAGAAGATGTAAGATATAGTATTTTGAAACACATGTATGAACGACAAAAATTTCTAACTGAATTGCTTGCAGTTTCTAATGTGACATTCCTTTCATACCACTCCACCAAAATTAAAGCCATCTGTTCAGGTTTAGAAAACAATTTCAGTTCCAGAATGGCAAACCAGATAGGCTCTGGAAATGGTTTAAGAGCCATTTGGTTGCAGATTTTGAAAATTGGATTAGCAAAAATTATGAAAGTCATTGTGAAAAGGACTGAGGAAAGCACATACCTTGATTTCATTTTCCCCAGAAGCTTATAAATTCTGCATTATGTCCTACAACTACTCCTTACTCAATATTGTCCAAACTGGTCTAATTAGTAGGCATAAAATGCGCTTTCTATGGTACATACACAGCATTTAAGGATTTATTTGTCTGAAAGTGCTAAATGTATAGAATAAACAACTAGAATATAGGTTATTTTCGGGCAGAGGTCACATCTATGTGATTTTTAGTCCTTTATTGAAAGAATGTATTTAACTCAATAAGCTGAGTTAGAGGCAATCCTACCTATACAATATAAATGTTTTCTTAAGGTCACATGGCTCCCAGAAAGATGAAGGGTTAGCTCAGTGACGTAAACACAGAAAGTTCACAAGAGTAACGGTTGGAGTAAACGGTGAAAGCTTGCTCCTCATAGTGAGTAAGGAATAATAAGACCCTAAACAGAAGTGGAGGTAGAAGGAGTTGCCCATGTGTTCCTGAAGAGGGCAACGGGCGAGCAGGGAGACAGCAGGCTGCTGGTGACGGCAGGTGGCGGCGGAAAGGACGGAGGAAACCTGCTGGCCGGTCCATGTGGAAATGCCGCCTTGAGAAGTGAGCCTGGGATCAAAAGATCCTCAGCAAAGCTGTGTGCCGGTGTCAGGAAAGAGATCGCTCTGGCTTATTACCCACAAAGCACTGCCTGCTGCTCCACTTATCCAAGTGCCCTTTTCTCTACAGACACAAACTGATAAGAACCTGGAAATGTGGGTCAGATGCTGTGGGTGGGGGAATTCCCCAGCAACAGCCAGCGCTTTCGACTCTGAATGATTTCAGAAAAGTTCCAGAGCTCTAAAGAAAACCTCTGTCATTTCCAGAGAGAGTGCTCTGACAGGAGTCTCTCAGGAGGGCTCTGTTCTAAAGTCAGAAATGCAGAGGGACGAGTAGACAGTGGGAGCCTTAGGTCTGAATTCTAAAAAAAAAAAAAAAAAAAGTGAGTTTTCTTGCTTAGGACTAAATCACTGTTTCACTTTGTAGAATTGCTTAGGACAATACCTATGATCACAATTCTCTTCCAGTTTCTGTAGCAACATTTGCCATATTTCTATGCCTATGTCTACATACATTTAAAAACAGGAGATCTGAAGGCAACATACACGAAAAGAATTGTACTACGGTAAAATGAAGTAGAAGCAGCTAGAGAATCTGAGACACGATCTCTTTTTTGTAAGGTGTGGCAGGTGGAATTTGAGTCTGTGTGTTCTTGATAAACCTGTTAGAATTATTTGTTTTTCTGGTTTTCATGGTGTTGTGAGAATTTTACTATGTAAAGGGAAGAATAAGCTAAGATGGCATCATTAGTCCTTGGGGAGGAGGTGCCGCCCCATAACAGAAACCCCTGCCCCTTATCATCTCCCTCCTACTACTAAGAAAGAGAAGGGAGATGCTGGACTGCTCATGAAAAAGCCAGGGTCTTAATTCACTTCATTTATTCATTTGTTCAACAAACATTTCAGGCTGTCACTATGTGCCTTTTACTAAGAAGGAAAAGGTAACTTAAGTGGAGAAAAGAAAGATAATAAATGCATTAATCAAAGGAAAAATAGTCTAACCATCCAACAGCTACCAAAGCCTTCTCATGTCTTCTGGGCTTCTAAGAAAGGGAGCCCAGTTATATGTTGAAAGAAAAAGAATACAAAAAAAAAAAAAACAAAAAACTAAAACTGACATATTTTAATCCAGCTTTGGTTTTATTTGCTTGTTTGTTTTATTAGTTGCCTGGGGATATCAAGGCCAAGTAAATACATTTATTGGTCAAGAGTTTCTTGATACAAAGAAACCTGTCTGGAGAACCATGCTGTGACTCAGCATTTGACCCATTGAAAATCCTGACTCTAAATTGTAAGAAACAAACACCACCAACTTCCTCTGTCACTTTGGGGAAAAGGTGTTTGAATGTACCCTTGTGGCACTTGACTTGGACAAGGAGGCTGGCCTCATTTTTATGTCATCCTTGGTTCACTGAGCCCAGATCCTTACCCAAAACGGAATTCGTGACAAATGTCAGCAAGGGGAATGGCCTATGTTGTTGCCAGAAAAGGGACTTTATACATCTCAGGAAAAGGCAACATTCATTTGGAGACCTTTTTTCTTAGCCAACATTGCAGAGATTATCCTACTCCAGTCACCGTGAACATTCACTAGCCTCCAGGGATTTGCAACCCAGGAGAAAAGTAGACAAGTATGCAGATGATCTCAACGTAACATTGTAAGGGTGAAACAGAATTACATGCACAATGTTTCACAAATGCTAAGGTTGAGTGAAAATACATAATGAAGGATAGCAGTTCGCTATTTTTCTGAAATTTGTTCCTAATGGTCAATTTTGGTTCTAACGGACATTTAATGGAGGATATTTCCAACCTACTGCCTGCCATTCCTGATGGTAGTACTGCCTTGTCACACAGGGGAAGAATTTCTATGGGGATGTCAGGTTTATTAATGCCAAGGTGAAATGGTCACCAGTAATAAAACACAGACTTTTACTTTGCATTACCACCCATCAGTGTCTCGCTACAGACGCTGCATTAGCTCAACTGGCACCCATGAGTTGTGTGACCACAGCCAAGTCTGTCAACCTCCTGGGACTGGAACTTGAAAGCACTGTATTCAGCGTTTATGGATAAAGCAGTACAGAAGCACATGCCAGATTTCTTTTACAAAATTCTTTGATTCAACAATGATGTACCTATTGTGTACCAATTTAGTGATATCTTCACATACAAAAAAGGGCTCCCGATGTTCTTTTGCCAGTGACATTGTTTGCTTAGAAATTTTACCCTATAGTACACTTTCTGTCCACAGATGTCTTCTGCCTTGTACCCACGATGGAGCTGATTTTAGGCTAAAGCTGTGTGCATGTCATTTGAAATACTTTCAGATATATGAGAGGCAAGATATTATTTAACAGTAAATATTAGCCAACATAGTAATAAGGATCCGATTTCATGCACTCATGAAAAAGGAATGTGCCAAAAAATATTTCAGCACACAAACTGCATTTAAAGTGACCACAGAGTCATTATATGGGTCATCCTCATATGCTTGGCTCTGTGTGGAACATTCTGTACGGGATGGTGTTGGTTACTGTGCCACTTATTTTTTTCCCTAAAATGAATGAGTTCAGTGTTTATGAAGGGAGAAGAGTTGGCAGGAGAGTGCAGACCTATGTTTATCCATAGGTGGTGGTTTTAACTCATACAGCCCAAATCCCCACAACCAGCCCTGCTCTGTGATCCCAGAAAAACTGACGCCAACGGCAAATGCCAGGAAGGAGCACTCTAGTGAAGACATGTGTCAGTTTTGGGGGCAGTAGAAGAGTTATATGATGGATAATGTAACTTTTTCAAGGAATTTGGTTTTAGGATGTAATTTACTTCATATGAATCCCCTTTTCATTAGCCCTTAAAGAATTAGGTTAAATAAGGTGACTTTTGGATGTTACTTTGGCACAATAAACTGGGGGGTGGGGGGGGGAATGAAATACCTTCAAAACTGTGGTGAAATGTAATAGGACTTGAAAGTTATTGTGGTTTTGGCTTTCAAATTTCAGAAGTTTTATGAACTCCTACTCATTTCTACTAATCCAAAAGATAGAAGCTCAAGACCTGTTTTTTGAATTTTAATTTAAAAATAAATTTCATCCTCAATAAAGCTGGAAAATAAATTCAAATTAATTTCATGATTTTTCCCTTACACTTTAAGAATACCTAACATTTAAAAATACTTGCTCTATCTACATATTAAATAGTCAGTTGTAAGTGGCTCCATAGTACTGTATAAAAATAATAATGTCCTCAGGCATTGCCACTGCAAACTCACATTATAATTAGGTCCATATCAAGTCAGAACTAATCTATGGAATCAAGCAGGATTCTTTCATCAAACTCGATGTACTTACTGGGAACAGGACGATGGGCACAGTTAGTGTTACTGCCACAAGGACTGCCAGGCGTACCAAGAGGAGGGGGGTGTCAAATGTATACACTTTGATGTACGCATGAAGTAATTCATCTTCAACTTCTCCTACAAAGAGGAAGAACAGAAAGAGTCCGTCTGGTGTTGTCAAGTTGGCACTGGTCACCTATGACAACATTCTACAGAGGGAACATTGTACAGTAGATAAAACCTGTACAAAATCCAGACACTTCTGTTTTTACCATGTCTCTAAGCTTATTAGCTGTGTGACCCTTGAACAAAGGGGCCTGAAGCTTATAAGTTGTAGAAGGTAATATGAAATTGCTGAGGGGCTTCCATAGCTCATTTGCATAGTGATAAACCTATCTCTGCTCTATAGAAGCATCACAAAACAGATGCTAGATTGAGGTGCTCTGGTTGAAGGGCATGAAAGGCCCGAACCTTAACCAGTTGACCCTCACATCCTGTCTCACTCCCTCTGCCCCCACCTGCCAAGCCAGCCTTGAGGCAGCTTCTCCTAAGCCAGTATGGAAACCCTAGGACAAATGATCGCTAACATTTTTTCAAGGTCAACAATTATGTCTCCACGACAACACTGATACACATATATTTGGGGCTTTTCCAGTTTTGCTTGTCTTATGAAACTCAGAGTCAGTATAAGAAACATGCAGAATGGGTTAGTGTGAGTTGTAGGGTCTCCAAATGAATGTTGCTCTAAGATTAAGATGCCGTTCTCCTGGAAAACACAGTCATTCAGAATTCAGGCACAAATGACAAGGAGCTGCTGATGGAATCAAATGTAGTTTGAGTTTTCCATTACTCCCCTCAAAATCAGACAAATGGGGTAAAAAAAAAAATACCTTCAATGGTATTGACCTTTCATAAACTCACAACCAGCAAGGAGGTAATGCCCAGTCTAAAGTAAGTACTTAGTTAATAGCCAAATATTGGCCAAATAGAATAAAACTCGATCAAATGGTTCTCCCCCTCTCCCAGTCTTTCCCCTCAACTTGTCTTGCAACTAATTTAATTTACCAAATCACTCAGAAAAATGCTAAAAGTTAAGTTTATACAAAAATATATTTACATTGATCACATTGATTAATGTGAACAAGTGCTAGCAGGTCAATGATTGACTCCCTGAAATGTGTCTATAGGGCCATGTTTCATGGAAGGGAATAACAATCCTCCTTTTGTGTCCTGTTAGAATGTCATAGAGGAAATGTTTTAGGCATAATCTAAGTGGCCTTGTCACACTTTGTTTTGATAGTACATTCCCAGATTGAAGAACTTCTGTCATGTACTTTTCTTTCTTTAGGAAACCATTCACCATAACAGAATAGAATATGACGAGCAAAACAAATTTACCTAGTGCTCCAAGCCCTCAGATTTGACTTAAATGGTAAATAAGAAGTAAGTTCCAACTCAGCAATGTTGTATTTTTCTCTGCCATTTGATTGGTAGTTAGTTATTTTATCAATAGAACTTTACAACATGCAGTTGGATTCACTCTCATTGCTTCTAGCCTGAGAGGGACTAAGAAGTCAAGCCAAACAAATATCATCTATCCCAGAAGGAACATAATTAAATGTGAGGGATTCTTAAAAATAAAATATATGAGAATTTACAAATTGTTATAACCTGTTAAGCCAAGCTGGTTCAGATCCCATATTCTTAGGTCAAGTGACATGGCTAAGATATCATGTTAACTGAGTACTTGTGTCTATAGTTCATGCTGCTTAAGGGAGTAACTAAAAGAATGATATCTACCTGGGTTAATGATCAGTTCAGCCAGGATTTGCACAAAGAGAATGACTTTGACAGAGCGACCTACCATAAAAGGTTAGGTAACCAAAGAGGGCAGCTAGCAGATACATGATGAGCATCCCCGTGATGGAAATATTTGACACTGTTTGCATCTTCCTCCGGGATCGACTGAAAAGAAAAAGAACACTGAGTTTTGGTGTTTATGTCTGTGAACAGATCACTTTTTTAAATTAAAATAAGAAAATAATGAAAGAATGTGTGTCTACGGTGCTCATTACAAAACCTCGTTTCTAATGCAGAAGCACAGCTTATTGAAATCTGTCGTAGAGAGTCATGAAGGATTCGTTTCCATTTTTCTAAAACATTACTCCTTCAGTCTTAGAAACAACCACTCTCCTAGAAGAAGATCAGTTTATTTTGTGTTGACAAGTAAGTTTGTCTACTGAGTATTTAAGAATGTAATTAACATGAAAGTCTTATTATTTCTTAGTGAGATGGGTTTAATGAGGACAAATACCTACTAGAGTCAGCAAAGCCCTACTTCCAAGAGTTCTGATATTATTACCAGGATGCTTGATATTATTACCTGGACAGCATCTAGAAACCATTCTAGAGGGCATTCCAGTGGTTTGAAGTCAATTGTCAGACCTCTAGAGTAATTGCTACATGTGATTTTCCAAATAAATCAAAGGCATAGAAATAATTTAAAATTCCAAAAATTTTTTATGAATAAATCAGAATTTATGGGGAAAATTATTGCTATTTGGTAAAAATTAGGACTGAGATCATTGATGTCTAGATTAAAGAAGCTGAAAATGATTATATGATATTGTCCCTTAAGGGTAAAGGGGGAAGCCGCGATAGTGGGCTCAGAGCCCGTTCATCCTCAAGTAGATGTCGCCAACCTCAAGGGGCAGAGTATTCATGGCTCACCGAGTATCAGCTGAAAGAAAAGGGATTGTCTAGACAGTGTCTCCATTGTGCAGATAAGACAATGAAGGTCAGATACTGGCACATCTCTGTGGTGAATATCTTCTAGACAAGGTTAGGGAATGACCATAAGTCACATCAGTAAGGTCACCCTAACAGTAATTTTTGGTCTTTATTAGTGTAGTAGTTTCCAGTTCAGGTGACATCACTTCTTTCCACCAAAATTCAAATTCGAATTCTCCATGCCTGCTCTAATCCGACAGCTGCTGGCTCCTCCCCCTGGCCTGGACCCCTAGCCCAGGCCATTAGGACGAAGGAATAGAAGAGAAGGAAGCAGATAAGGCAATGCAGTGAGGGGTCTGATGCACACCCCTTTGGTTAAAGCACATTACTGAAGAGTGGTTGTAGCACAAACTTTCTCTGAAAAGAAAGCTGTAAACTATGCTTCTGAATAAAGCACCTTTGAACATATGAGCCCATTTTCAAAGCAAATTAGAATGCTAAAATGATGGCTGCCTTACTCTTTAAGTTCACTGTAGATGGGAAGGACCTCAGGGTGGCATACAAAAGCAAATGCTAGGATAGGAATTGCATAGGCCGTCTGAAAAACAAAGACAACACCGCATGTTTAGCATTCCAACACAGACAGCGATCCCAGCGCATCTCAGCGTATAAAATAAAAACTCAGAGGCCACATTACCAGGCTCACTAGAGGCCCAGGACTCGCGCTTACCCGGGAGTTGAATACAAAGTATTTGGGTTGACACTTGTCATCACTGTGTGCTTCGTACTCTATTCTGCTGCCGTGAAGAGAGCCCTTGGCCTGGTTCTCATCTAGCCCTGCAGGACTCTGGTGGGTGTAATCCATCATGAAGTTCACACCACTGCTCTCAGAGTTGTTGGGGAACATTCCCATGTGCATTGGAAGTGTACTGTTGAAGGACAGATTCCCAACATTGTGATCCAGAACCGGCAGAGGGCAGGGTATTTGGAATTTCTTGTAAATCACCTAGACCCCGTCATTAAAAAAAAAAAAAAAAGTTAGCCTTTGAGGAAAAGAATGAAATGAAAATCTATATGTGTGCTTTATGGGATGAAGCAGAGGGGCCTCTGCTGAGGATTTTTATTTTTTTGGACTAATGGACAGTGGAGACTCCCTCTAGCCTCTGTCCTCAGGAAAGAGTTGGAACTATGGTTGGCAGCCCTGCCCCTTAAGAGTCAACAGGACAGTATTTGGGGTGAATACATTCTAAGCTGCATTCATACTCTTCCAGGAGAAAGATGATCATTTCCTTGCTCCATTTCATATCTTTTATTTCTTCAAACTAATAATAATATGATAATATGAGTTATTAAAAAGTCCCCTCTCCTTCTTTACCTCTTTGGAGAAATGCTGTATAAAATTTCACATACATGATATTACAAGAAATTCCCTTTGGCAGGGAGTGGGGGGAGGTGAGGAGAGGGATTTCTTCTTTAATCCCACTGTGGTTGCCCCTTTTCACGGGTAGAATAAATAAGAGAAAATGGCTGATTCATGTGGATATGGCTAATTCTGTAGCCTACTTATTTCTCTTTTGGGATGTTTATCTTCTTCCTCCACCTTTCTGAATACTAGGCTATTGTCATGTTCCTGCTTGACGTGCTTTTGGTCCAAATATATGTTGTGTGCCTAAAACATACTTTTAGCAATGCTCTTGACATTTTAATTCAACAATTTTAAAACTCATGACAGCTCTATTCTCATTCGAAATTAGAATACAAAAAAAAATTGCTCGTGGTGCAAGAACTATTTCATGCTAGTGAGGTGCTTGAGCAACAACAACAACAACAAAACCCCACAAATTTAGGCACTAAACACATCTCACGCTCCCCAAGCTACAGGAATCATATTAATAAATCACTTACCACACTGACAAAAAACACCATGCAGGTGAGAGAAAATCCACTGGTATAACCAAGGTAACCTGGGAGTTAGTAGAGAAATTATGGAAGGTGAATTTGGCATCTACAATCAGCTTACTATTACAATATAAAATCAAAATAAAAATTAAAAATGACATTACCTAAGTTTTTAAGAAGAGAAAGTGGGAGAATGATTCCAAAGGACACAAGTATGACGAGGTAGTTGCCGTTGAGGTACCATTCTCTAGGAGAGAAAGACCAATCAGAATATTGGGATGGGAAAAGACCAGCTAGAATGAGTCACCTGACATTATAAAGAGGACATAAGACATACCCAGTATTTTCTTCAAGTCCCATGAATGCTTTGATTACTTCAGGTAGTTCGTATTTAATGATGAAGAGGTAGCTTGACATTGCTAAAATAAAAAACATGGCAGCTCAGTGGGGCTCATAGCACTAAAGTCAGAGGCAAGTCATGAGAAGTCCATGCATCTGGGATACATGTTCTTCCCAGTAGGATGAACATTTAATCCCCAAACGGCAAGAAAAGTCGCCCACTGTATATTCTGTACTGCTTCCAAGTTCTTTCCAAAAATAGACATTTGGCCCTCTGGCTCTTGCATACAGAATTTCACCAACAGAATCAATGATGATTCTGTGTTAAATCCTGCTCTGAGGTTTTCAGTGAATTCTGCACTTTGAATATTTCCCCCTCGTTAGTTTTAAGTCATCATGTACTGTACTGAGTGTGCCTGTCTTAGTGTCTGCAACTTGAGGAGGGACCTGGCAACAAACGGCATGGGCCAGAAAGGACAGGCCAGAATTGCAGGGTGAAGCAGGCTAGACTACATGCCACTCTGGCTCTCCCCGGGTGGGTGCCAGTCTAGTCCTCTGTAAGCTCCCTGAGGGGCACCCAAGGACTCAGGCCACTGGTTGTCTAAACTGGAGTCATGCTGGCTTGAGAAAAGAACACAGGAGAGGATAGCTTCTCCCCCCTTTGCCAATGAAGTTTTCTCCTCCTCTACATCCTGGTCTCCCTTTGGCTAAATAAGAAATTATACAAAATGGCAACATTTCTTGAGCATCCAGATAAGTGACAGATGTGTGATCATGCACTTGTCCGAAAACCTAATGAAATCTGTGAACCCAATTCCTGGAAAAAATGTATATGTATATATAAGCATAATATACAATTTGCCTACAATTGTAGAGATTTAAGCACCATCCCTTTCTCACGTCCACCCACTCAGTAAAGTGTAAGACTGATTTCTTGTTTGACACGCAGTTAAAGGACTCAATTAAAAATAAACTGACACGTTCTGCATTGGCAGCTTTAACTGTATGCTACATCCTTCAGGAGCACTTTTGCTAATAGACATTTTAAAGCAAATACTAAGTTGTAAATTGAACTGTTAATATTAAATTAATGAATATTAAAGGTATGTCCTTAACCTCAACAGAAGTATTAATGGTGATAGTAATTCCCCACACTGTGCAGTTCTGCACATTACTCCATTGAAACAGCAAGGGGTACGTATTGTCGTCACTCCACAGCTGAGGACATAAAGCTTACACGGCGTGTCCAAGACCACATAGCTTGAAAATGACAGACCACATCCGAAATAGAAGTTCTCTGATTTCGGGCCAGGGCTGCTTCTCTATTGTGAAGTGAAATGATTCTTACAATACCTGATGTATCTTCTGCAAACATTTGGTTAATCTTTACAAAGACCTTGGCTAAAGTTAAATCTTACAGAGAGTAAACACAGAAGATATTTCTGATTAACTGGCTCTGTGAGGTACCATTCAATTTTAGAGAGGTGTTATTGCTGACTTTCAGTGATGTTACCACTGTTAATGTGTTTGGTCTTCAAAAATTCAGAAGGATCCAGACCTGTCTGGGCAATGTCAACATTATTCTGCCAGTGTTGAAACATCCGTGGTAAATGTTCATTTTCAGGGGACTGAGAATATTAACTGTTCTAAATGCAGAGTTGCTAAATACAGAAACACAAGTGATTTCCCTGAGGGCAAAATAACCACTAACCAAATAGAGCAACCAAAGAGAGAGCATTTTCAGGGACGAAATATAAAATTTTATCTGCTTCTTTAAAGCCACACTTCTTGTTGTGTGTGTGGCTTGATTGAGAGACCACTTTATAGTTTATGCCATTATTTAGAAGCATAATAGTAGCTATACTTTGAGCAACAGATGGTGCTATTGCCACTCAGTCTGTTGGGGGTCGGGGCTAAATATGTGTATGGTTATTTCAGTTGTCCAAACAAGTAAAATAGATAAACTGTGAAGTGATCCTATGAAATGCTTGATACTTTAAATCCTGATAAGGTTGGATATTTGAACTAAAGGCAGTGCAGTCTATTTGGTGGTGGATAGGGGCTTAAATGCTTATGACTCCAAACCAGTCAAATGAGTGAAGCAATCCTGCCAAATTCTGTTCAAGATTGTAGTCTTACTATATAGAACTATGAGAAGAAATAAATACAAATCAATATATGCTTGGATTTTATTTGCTTAGCAACTATCCATTATCAGGAGCAGGTATAGTTAGATAAAGGTCATTAAAAGTATTGCTGTGTTCCAGAAATCCTAGATAATTTCAGTGATGTTATTTGTCAGAAAGGGTTACCTATTTGCAAGATCTCTGTGCAAGTTCATTTACTGCAGCCCTGCCTGCAAGAGCGAAACCCTGGAAACGATCCAACTGTCCATCAGTAAGGGATTCAGTAAGCCAATTCTCCTACATTTGCACAATGGAAAACTCAGAAGCCATTAAAAAGAATAGTATGCGAATACATTGAGGGCATATTGTTAAATTTTAAAAAAGCAAACTGCAAATCAGTATTACAAGAAAATCCAATTTTAACAGGAACAATATATTTATTAAATTTGGCACAGAGAAAAACCTGGAGTTGTTATTTCTAAGGGTGAGTTACATAAACATTTCTTTGTCTTTTATATTTTTATGTAATGGTTTAGTTTTTCACAGTTATCACTTATTTGTCTCATAATTATAAATATGCCCATTTAAAACAATAATCAGAGGGGCTCCAGAGACATGGATATTGAATCTGAGAACCAGGGAGGAAGAAAGCATGTACTGAACGCTTATTATGTGCCATATGTTGTCTCATTTCATCCTTACAATGACCTTGTGAGGATGGAATATTACTCTCATTTTCATAGATGGAAAATTAGACTCAGGGGAACAAAGTGATTTTCCCAAGGTCGCAGATAGTGACAGAAACAGACTCAAATTCAGTTGGATCAGAATCCAGAGGTCTATTATCTATGTGCAAGGGTTTTAAAATACCTTTCAAAAATAGTAACAGATGAGATACCTACAAAGAGGGTTCAGGAACCCAGAGGAACTAGGGAACACTAGTTCCTAAAAACCTAGAGAAGCAGTGAATGGGGGGAGGAGAGAAAGAGAGAACAAATCTGTGCGATTGTGGGTGTGGGTGTGTTAGGGTGGAGGACTACAAGATATATAGTTTGCTATGTTATGACACAGGATACACAGGGGATGGATAGGTAGATGATGATAGATAAATGATGATAGATGATAGATAGGTAGGTAGATAGATAGATAGATAGATAGATAGATAGATAGATAGATTTGAGGGTCAACAGAAAAGGTATCAGAAAGTAGGCAGAGGAAAGATGATGAAGACCCTTATGTGTCAAGCCAAAGAGTACATTTTACTTTGAAAATAAAGAGGAAGAATTTTATGCAAGAATAGATTTGATTTCAGAACGTGAGTCTGAAGGATGAATTAGAGATGGGAGCAGGGGGAACTCAAGTTCAGGTGATCACTATGGAGAGGAAAGACTGAAGAGCTAAGTGAGAGAGAATGATTGGTACTGGTTGGTATTTGATTGACGGCTCAGGGTTAGGGAGAGAGGGGAAAATGTAGGCTGACACCCAGATTTCAAGGAAGGTTTTACTCTATATTTTAATTCCAGAATTCAATTGGTAGGGTTTTATATAGTGTTTCATTCTTAAATATTGCTTTTTGTTAATCCTCACCTGAGGATATTTTTTTCCGTTGATTTTTAGAGAGAGTGGAAGGAAGGGAGAGGGAGGAAGAGAGAGAGAGAGAAACATTGATGTGTCTCTCACATTGACTGGTTGCCTCCTGCATGTGTCCAGGGACAGAACCTGCAACCCAGGCTCTTGTCCTTGACTGGAAATCCAAACCTGCGACCCTTCGGTGTGTGGGTTGACACTCTAACCACTAAGCCACACCAGGCATGGCACCTATTGACATTTTTAATTAAAGAGGAATAGCAAGTCTGTTTGGAAAACTTATTTTTTCAATTTAAAAACTACAAAGCAACTATTTTTCTGTATTTAAAGTGCTTGTATATTGCCATAGGAGTTTTCTTATATATTAAATATTCTTTAGAAAGTTTAACTAGCCTGTTGAAGGCTCTATCTCCTTACCTCCAATGTTCTGCATTGTAATGGAAATAAAAGCTGCGATTTTCCCAGGCCATCCAAATGCTTTTTCCCCTAATTTTTCATAAATTAAAGACCCTACAATCAAAGATAAAATAAACTTGTTAAAAAAGATTGTATTAATGACTAAAATATGTCTGCAATATAATTCTACACTAGAATCTCACACATGTGAATAATCACCATATAGAAGTTATAAACTCAAAAGACACAATCTCAAAAATCAATGCAAAATGTGTTAAAATATTCCCCACACAGGTGGCAATGGTTTCATTCATGTGAGCTCCATGTAGCAAGTCGAAACTCTGATTTGCATTATTCACCAAAAATCTCTTTATCTATTTAGCTTCAATTTGTCTTCATTCCTCTCAGTTGCTCAAATAACTCAAAACATTGAGAGACCATGTCATGGGGTCAGAAGACAATGAAATATGAAATTGATCAAAATTATCCTATAGTTATGGAGCTATAGACTGACATGCCCTTTAAAGAGAATCAAAATAGGACATTTTGGACTTAAAGGGTAGCATACCTCCTTCTTTTGAAGTCTTTAATAAGAGGTGAACTGAATAGAGTGATAATATTGCCACAGCAAACAGCATGGTTCTGTGAGGGGAACAGAAAGTAGAAAATAAGTTTTTATAATAAATAAGATATAACAGATATTGCAATAAATTATCACATTGGTCTTTTCAATCATTAACTTTCTGAAAGTATGTGGATTTGGGGGAAACTGAGAAATTATTTTGGAACTCCACACACATTCTTTAATGTCACAGAACTGGAATTTGCTATGTACCAAAACCTATTATCTGAAGTTCCTAACATACCTTTTTTCCCAAATGTTACCCAGAAATAAAATCTGGTTTGTACCTTAAATGCTAAATGTATAGCAAAATTAACAAATACTACATCTACTTATTCAGCTCATGGGTCTATGTAAATCATATTTGCATGACAGTTGTACCGACATTTATAATTGAAGGACTATTCAATAGTCTGAATAAACCTTAATCTGAAATCTAGAAATAGAGAAGTCCAGGCATGCGCAGTCTGAGCCCCCATCACTGCTGATCCAGCACACTGGGGGGCGAGCAGGTGGGCCAGGGGGTCAGGCAATGGCCTGTGTAATAGAGAAACAGAGAAAAGTATAGACTGCAGGGGAATTGCTTTTTATATTCAGAAAAAATCACTTCTGGTTCAGGACTGTTCTACATCTACATGCATGCATGATTTCTTTATGTAGAAAGTGATCAGTGTTTCTCCAAAAATAAGAATTGAAAATAAAAAATAAGATAGATAGAGGCACTTATATAATAATTTGAAGAGCAATACTAAACTTTACCTGACATTTAAAAATATCCGTATTCTTTGTCTATTTTCCCCCAAGGTGGATCATATTCTTTGGTAACTCCTGCTGAAGTCAGTGTTGCAAGTGTACATTTTTACCATGAGTTATTAATTTTATAACGACTCTAGGTTTACTGTGCCAGAACTGACTAATCAATGACTTGTTCATATATCCTACTGTATGCCTTATGATCTTACTGTTTTTAAAGAATTATGTAATTCAGATTACATAATTTTGTTCCTTGGAAAAATACTGAATTCCCAGTATTCTAAACACAGGCTTGCTTTGGCAGAAAATATTAAGAGTAAAACCAATGAAATCATGTGTCACTTGCTGTGAGTTAAGGGAGAGAGCTGAATCCAGTCCGTGCTGCGGAGACACACAAAACGTACCCACAGTGTCTAGCAATTTAGTTCCTCTGGCCAAACTAATTTGCTACATGTTCGTACCCCTGAAAGGAGGCCCTTGGTTTTAAAAGTGGAATATTCTCCTCCCATGAGAATGATCTGTGGTTCTAGCAGTGGGGGAAATGTTTATTTTTCTGTCCATCAGTGATCTATGCTAACTTCCTAATTATTTTATTAGTATATGTAATTAATGAGAAGACATTCTCTATATATGAATACATCACTAGCCATTAAGATTCAGAGAATTACAGAAATAAGTTTATTTCAAACATGGTTTATAAAAGTAAAGTTGATATAAAAACTCATTCAACTAAAAAATACTACAACTAAAACACTTCAGTGAAAGCACTAACTCAATATAAATATTTATAGTTCTGCCTGATTCTTAGCCCTCAAATAGCTGTGTGGTTATCTAACCATAGTGATGCTCAGAACATAAATAGCATATATTTGTCATATAAATGTTGCATTCTTAGACAGTTATTTAATGCTCTAGCGTTGCATTAGAGATTGTGATCTGCATTCACACTGATGCCTGACTAACATTAGACTTTATTTCTGTGAAGAATTCCAGGGCTGCCAACTGTGTCTTGGAAAATACCAGGCAGTACGTAATGCACACAGACATCTGTGGCTGTCTGTCAGAGACAATGCAGTATCCATTCTCCAGGTCAGCTCTGTGACTTTACTAATCTTAGGCAGCATTTGACTATGTTTGATTAAAGTGCATAGGTTTAGGAATAAACTTGGGCCATTCCACAAATACTTCCTGTGCCAAGCCTGTACTAGGTCTTGAGGATACAGACATGTGATGAATGAAAACAGATATGAGCTCAACTCTCTGGAGATTATAGTGTAGCAAGGGAGATAGACATCAATCAAATAGATCATACAACTGCACTGAAATATTAAAACTGGCGAGTGTATAATAAGGTAGTTTGTCCCAGTCATGGAGGTTAGGGAAGGCAGCATGGGTGTTCGGCAGAGCTGAGATATCAGGAGTCAACTACATGAAGAGGAAAAGGAAAAGGAAAAGGAAAGAGGATTCCAAGAGCATGTGTGAAGGCCCTGTGGTGAGAGGAAACGGTGCCTTCATGGGACGGAGAGAAGGCTAGCATGCCCAGCATATCTGGCCCCAAGGACAAGGCGGACAAGGTGTGACACAGACCAGGATATGCAGGGTCCCGGTTTAAAGTGGGTCTTGTTCCCCACAGTGTTATAAAGTCAGATTTGCTTCTGAGGAAAATCTTTTGAGTACTTTACACCAAATCATTATTTTAAAATTTTTCTTTATTGAGTTTTAGACAGAGAGAGAGAGAGAGGAAAGGAGAGGGAGAGAGAGATGGAAACACCGATGAGAGAGAAGATCAATTGGCCTCCTCCTGTATATCCTCCACCCCTGGGGATTTGGCCCACAACCTGGACATGTGCCCTGACCAGGAATTGAACTGGCGACCTCTTGCTGCACCACTGCTTTGAGTGGTTGAACACATGAAGTTTCTGCCGTTTGGTTAGGGACAGGTGGTTGGATCAGTACTACAATTAGACTATTCTGATTATTCCTCAGGTTGCTGTTTTATCTAAAAGCAAGAGGAATATGCTAATAATTTTTCAGATTATTTCTGTTCACAAAGATCAAACTTCAGACTGTTAATTAAAAGAACACCAGGTATGTATGGACTTTAAACCAAATGGAAACATGTCCATTCACTTACATGAAAAGTATGATCCCTGTGTTGGCCATGGCGTAAGACAGGCCCAAGATCCCACTGCCCATGATGGCATTACTCAGGTTGAATGAAGACATTCCGAATGAGGTGGTTCCAGGGTGCTTGAGGAGAAAGGAACACGTTATAAGCAAGTATTAACCAGAGGATGCATCACTTCTGGATTGTTCTTATTTTCACATTGTCTTACTGGAGGAGATTATAGTCTAAGATTGAACACTAAGAAAACATCCCAGTGAATAAAGGTTTTTGATGGATTCGACTGTAATTTACAATGGAATGCAGAGCTTAGCTTTAGCAAGGGTCTCAGTAAAACTAAAATATACAGGTTGAGTAACATAAAGAAGGGAAAGCATGTATGATTGCAGATTACATTTGAGTTAGAATGATTTCTCCAAAAAACAAATAAATTTCATAAATGATTTATGCAGCCATATGGCGAACAGGAAAAACAAGCCCTTATTCCAGTAAGGGCCTGAATAAACAGAGAATGTGCTGATCAAGGCTTGGAAAATTTCAGTCACACTGTTTTCCCACAGAGACCTGGGTAGGTCAGACACCCTCAAGTCCTGTTTATTACCTGAAAGCAGAGATTCACTTACATGTTCATCATCATAATCTGCCAGCTTCTTTTTCCCCAAAAATCCATTTGTCAGGAATTTCTGACTTTCATCATCTTCATTAGCAAATTGACTGAACACAAATATTAAAAGGAAAAATAAGAAAGTAAACACGTCTAAGTAAATCCTCTGAATTACATCTATGTTTCAGGTGATCTAAGTAACTGAATAAAGGGAGGAAAAACAAGACAACTGAAACTCTTTTTTTCTCTCTTCCTGCATACGAGTGTTCCTTCCAAACCCATACTGAGCTCCAGGTAGGGAAGGAGGGAAATGATGAAGGAAGAAATGTTAATTTTAGTGAGAATTTTTAAAGCCACATTTCTTCTTCATGTCCCTAGTCTAAGGATGAGGGGCTATTACTCAGACAAGTAAAGTAGCATGCCTACCCCCCAGACTCCAAGCCCAGCATCTTCCACATGCAGTCCCTGGCGGGCCTGGAGCTGATATTTCCTCTTTTTTGTCTCCACCTGTTTGTTCATAGAGCCCTTGCTGGAAGGTAGTTCAACGTTAACTTGGTGTTGTGTTTGGTTGTTTTCCTCATGGGCATTTGTATATTTTAATTACTCTGAAAATATGCTTGGGTTATTAGACAGTGGATGAAATTAAGAAAACCATTAAAGAAACCCAATGAATTAGTAGAAGAGTTAAAAGGGAAGCAGGACATTAAAAAGTCACTCTTGACAGAACATATGATTGTGGTCTCCTTGGGCACAGGCTGGAGGCTGCACACCCTTTAATTGTGACGGCTGACTCCTGCAGTTACGGGCCAGGGGCTTGGAGGGTCTGACTCTGGTACCAGGCACATTTCCAGAGGGCTTGACTAACAACTACAGCTGCCACCACTGTATTTTGAAACTGCGGAGTATACACAGGCTTTCTTTTGGTCATAAGAAATGCTCAACTATGCATGCTTCTTAAAGGTGCTTTATAATTAATTAGACTGCTGTTTTTAGGGCCGTAAAGATAAAATAATTGGAGAATATTCTATTAAAATAAACCCTAGGAGCAAAAAAGGGGGAAATAATTATTATGGGAGATCGGTGCAAATTATATTTAATAATAGGAACTAATCCTAAAAATAATCTTATGAGGAAGAGGGATAACGAGATTACTTTCTGAGAATAGAGAACAATGGTCAGGTGTTGATAGAACCAGCAGACAAAATTAGAGTCTTGTGTGCTTTCTAGAACGTAGGGTGTGGGTTTTCAAGAACCTCCAGTACACATACAGTTAGGAACATTTCCTGGCATTCCCCTCCTGGTTCTCGGAGGAAGCACAGTGCCCTCGGAAGCTGCCTTCTTCCATCTCTACACTCCCCCATTGTGAGTTTACTTCGTCTATAATTAATGACTTTGCTATGTGGAGGCTGGTATATAATATTCATAATTGGAATCTGAGACAATAAGATGAAATGAAGCCTAAAAGGGGCCTAAGGATAAAAACAAAAGTGATTTAAACTGGAATATCCAACATTATACTTTTTACCTTAATCAATAAACAAGAATCCTTTAGCCCATGAGTAGTTTTTGAAATTTAAAATGTGGAAGTAATTAGATTCTCTTTTCCAAGGCATTTGCATGCTCTTATTTTGGCAACAGAATGAGTTGTGCTCATAAAACATGCCAAGATTGTATAAAATATATGAGAAATGTCCCCAGTGTCTTAAATGTTTCAATACTGAACCCAGCATGTATTAGAAACACAAGTATAATGATTCCAAATAAATACATTATGTTGAATTTCTCAAAAAAATATTACATTTAAGGAATCAATTGAAACCAAACAGAAACAAAACCCATTTTAAGGTGATTATAAAATTGGAAAACGATGACCCATGTTTGGTCAAAGGTGAGGAGGTAAGGTACTGTGAGCGGTCCAGAACATGGTGTATGAAGCTTCACGAAAGCATCCTTGCTCTTTCCATTATGGCTTTCAGAGGCCCAAATGGATGGTTCTAGAGAACTGCTCTTGGGATGGTGTCTCCTTCAGCTTGGCCGACTCTGCAGAGCTCTGTCTGTGTGCACCCTTCTCAGAAACAAAAAGCCCTCGGATTTGGATCAATTTACCGAGGGTGATGAAGTGGAGGAGGAAACCCAAATTTACTGAGCATCAGCTATGTTCTAGGCACTCATTGTATCCTCAGAAAAGTGTGTGCTGGTTTGCCATTCTGCATTTTCCACAGACGCTCAAAGAGATACATGTCCTCTCCAGTGCTAGGCAAGTACTATGCAGATCCTCAGCCCCATGTTTACCACACTGTTTTTCCTGCTCTAGAACCTGCCATGATTTACATCTCAAGGGCCCTTCTGGTCCAGCAACCCTACACTTCACTGCACTGACCCCTTGGAGGAACAGTGCTTCCTCCTGGGGGCCCTTTCCTGGATGTTGTGAATAAAATGACACATCCTTGTTTGAAGATAATACTCTCTACTTCAAAAATTTCCTTCTGGGTATCTTAAGTCATGCATAATTTATATTATGTAATTTTTTTTTGAGAAATTAATTTACTTATCAAATAACTATTGTGCACCTACCATGTACCAGGCAGGGTGATACACGCTGGGACCACTGAGGCCATTGGCCTGCTGTAATGGCATGATGAATATCTGGATAGGGGGAGGGTACACCGAAGCACTTATACCTGGGGGAAGGCTTCATAGGAAGGTTGCTATTGATCTGAATCTTGAAGGCTGAGTGGAGTCAATGGAGAAGGTGGGTAGTACTAAAAGCGGATATTCCAGACAGATGGAGCAGAATAAGTGAAGGCACAGGGAGCTGTGAGTGGCTCAACAAGGCTAGACAGGACAGTGACACAGGGAGCAGGCAAGAGATAGGACAGAAGAGCGAGGCAAGGGACAGATCATGAAGGGGCTTATATGCCAAGCAATATATACTCTCATCTTCATCTTATTGTTCCTGGGGAGCCACTGAAAGACTTGATCCAGGGATGGAAAATGAGGCAGTTTGCAATTGTAAAAGATTACTTTTGCCAGAAGGTAGAGGGTTAGTTGGAGAAGAGCAAAATGTTTGACAGGGAGACAAATGAGGGCTGTTCTAATAGGCAGGTGAGTGAGGATGAGGGCCTAAAGTAGACAGCAATAGGGTGGATACAGAGAAGAGGGTGGATTTGAAACATTAATGAGGTAGAACCAACTGGATACGTCATTTGGGATAGCAGATATGTGGTTTGACAACTGGGGTCTTTTGGTTGAGTTGTTGAATGATAGTGGGGACTTTAACCAACATGGGAATTACTGGAAGAGGATCAGGGTTTAAAGGGAATTATAGGAGTTCCTTTTTAGACATTACAACTTTGACTTTATAAATGAGGCAGTTTAGAGACATGAGTCATCCAGTAGAGATGTGTAATAGACAGGGGATTTAATAATTTGGAATTCAGTTGAGAAGTCTAACAAGCTAGAGATATGACATATATTTAGTGAGTGAAACCATGATAGTTATGAATAAGCTTGCTGACAGAGCATTTTTAGTGAGAAAAGAATCCTACAGAACTCTGGAGATAGAGCAAATTTTAAAAGATAGTCAAAGGATGAGTAATCTAAGACAGAACGGTCCAATAGGTGAGAGAAGTGATAAGCTAGTATTTTTTAAGTTATTCTATATTATTAATGGGGATAGAAACACTGTAATTTCAATTCTAAATTAGTCTCACCAAGGATTGACATATAAAATTGGTATATTAATATGTACTTCTGGATCAGGGAGTTGATGTGTTAAGATCAATATCGTTATTATCTCTCAAATAGGTAACATATCCAATTCTTCCTGACGAGCACCTTGTTTTCCATGACCATAAACCTGTCTAAGTTTCCCATGGAACCTGGTCATTTTTCACCTCATACCTGCTCATGGCTGCCTTTTCTAAATTCCCCATCCCGGTGTAGCTATCTTGAGCACTTTCTCCACTGCTGCTCTCCTCATTGGGTCCCATGTTGACATTTGTCAGTTCCACAGGATCCATTGACGCTGTCAGCGCTTTCTTGTCCACACACGAGCTCCTTCGGTGTCAACAATATAATGTACCTTCAGCTTAAGACTCTTCCCCTTTGTGTTGATGTTCAGCACACTCTGTTCTGCAGACAGAACACAAAATAAATCATGATCATTTTCTTTAAATGAGATAAATGTGAATCACCTATTTTGTGTATGTTCTCTATGAAAAGGAAATGAGCTACTGAAAACTTCACATAAATATATCCAGAAAGATTGCATTGTAGAAAGAAAATTATTAATAAACTGCCAAATCAGCACATGTTCATAGAGTGCCTACAGATGTGAACATGGCAGGTGCTTTGTTGGTCACTATGGGAAGAAAAAACAATAGTTCTTAAGATGTAGAAACAATCTTCAAGAAGCGCTACATATTTGTGGGTTTGGTTTTGTTTTTTATTGTAATTAAATTTGTTGGAATGACACTGGTTAATAGAATTATACAGGTTTCAAGTGTATAGTTGTATAATACATCATATGTATATCGCATTGTGTGCTCACTACCCAAAGTCAAGTCTCCTTTTGTCGCCCTTTATCCCCCCATCCCCTTTTCTACCTCCAAGAAGTTTTAGGTATTTGTAATCAGATTTCATGGCTTCAAAGAAAGGGAGAGAAAAGTAAATTGTTGACAGAGGAAGAGCTGCCAATCAGTGTCTCTACTGGCAGTAATATCCCCAAATTACTACTTTAATTTGCGAATTGTGCATGAAAGAATTAACACCACCAAAATGCTTGATAACATGCAACACAGGGTAGGATCAGGCTCAGGGAGCCCCTTTCCAGGCACTTGGATCATGAAGCCAAAGTTAAGAATAGTAACAAAAGGAAGTACAGGTTTATCTTTGAATCAGTCACCATCTACATAAATTAAAATACATTTTTTTTTTATCCTCATCCGAGGACATTTTTCCACTTTTTGTTCAGATAGAGTGGAAGGGAGAGAAAGGAAGAGAGAGAAACACCGACGTAAAAGGGACAGACACATTGAGTGGCTGCCACCCGCATGACCAACCAGGGCTGGGGACAAACTGCAACTGAGGTACGTGCCCTGAGCAGAAACTGAACCTGGGTCTCTCCGGATGGTAGGCCAATGCTCTAACCGCTGAGCCAAACCTGCCAGAGCTAAAATACATTTTAATAACAAAGAGATTCAGCTTTTAGACTGCTCTAGCTTTAATTCACTAGATTTCAGCATAAATTACTTAACTATATTTGTTCCTTATTTTCTTCAACTGTAACTAAAAAGGGGTGGACTGGCATTGTGTAAAAAAAAAAAGTAAGATGCTACAAATCCATCATGTTATTGATATGATTTCTTCTGAAATTTTTATTATTAGAATCATTCAATTCTTGTTGAACCATTACATTGGGAGAAATACTATCATTCTTGGAAGGTGTGGTTCTGGGAAGTGCACTACTCATTTGGTAAGGAAATCCTGAGCTGAGAAAGTAACATAAAAATTGCTTCAGAACTCATGAACTCCATAAATCCCCTAACAAATACACATACACACACACACACACACACACACACACACACACACACACACGGAATGCTTACAAAATCCTGTGCTCTGTGGAAGGCAACTCACACTTCAAATTACAAAGTTACAAAACACATATGAAAACTCACTGGGACGAGGGTCAGTAGACATAAGAAATGACAAGATTCACACCTGAGTAACTACAGATAGCAAAGCAATTTAAAAGGGACTTTAAAATTAATATAATAAAAATAATAAAAAGATTTAAAATAAGAAATAGTACCTGTAGAATAAGAACATTATAAAAGAAGATCAGGCTGGTTTTTAAGAAAGCCAAAAGAGAATTCTAAAAATAAAAAACACAGTCATTAAAATAAAGGAAACTCCGCTGAAGGGAGAGTAATGAAACTGGAAGATAGATCTGTGGAAATCACTCAAATCATATCACCAGGAAATAAAGACAAATATGAAGTTAAGAGACATGGGGAGGGTGGACAGAAATAATAATTTTAAATATACTCTAATAGTTATTCTAATATGAGAGAATTGTAAGACTAGGGAGACACAAAATAGAAAGACAGAATGGCAGAGAACTGTCCAGAACTGAAAAAAAAAGAAAAAGGATGGTAGTTCTCAGAGTTTAAAAAAAGCACACAGTGCTTCAAGCAGGAGTAAAAATGAATATATTCATTAATACGAGGTAGTGTAAGATGTCAAAGATAAAGAGAAAAATCCTAAAAACCACCAGAGAGAAAAGTCAGACATACATATGGTTAAGAGAAAAAATAGAATCTTGTATTAAATGAGTACAAAGATTTCTCTCACCTATCACACAGATCAGCTTCGCTTCTCAGCAGCAACCACTAATGACAGTTTCTGTTTTTAGGTCTTCATGTAAATTTAGTCATTCTAAATTTAAATTATTCACCAAAGCTCTGACCTGGTTAATCAACTCTGGACTGGTACCTATGAAAGATAAGGAAATTACATACTTCTTTCTATCCTTCCTTATCACATATTTCTGATTTACTTAATGAGATTCTTTTAGAGTTGAGATGCATATTTTCACACTATTCTATAAAACAATTAAATCTCTCATAATTTTCTATACATTGTTGTGATTGTGTAAATAGTATGTCCCCCAAAATAGTGTGGTATATTTGACTATATAATAAATGAAATATGATCCTCTATTACTCAAATTTTAAAAGTGAATCTGTCACACTTTTTACTTTCTAAATGGTTTTCTCCTCCACCCTTTGGGTCTCACTCAGCTGCCAATGTTTCCTGATGGCCATTTCATCTTCTTTCTTCAATTGGTTTTGCACTGTGGCGAAATACTACCTTGAATAATTTTTTCCCCCACACAATGTGTCCATGTTTGTAAACAAAATTCCTGGTTTGTTCCATGTTGGAAAATGACTTTACTTTGCCTTCAAACTTAGTTGATTGAATTCTGGATTGAAAATAATTTCCCTTCGTAACATTGAAGACATTTGTCTCTTCTGTCTTCCACCGATGTGTCTTATTTCTTTGATTTTTCCCATCTGAATGACTAGAATTTTTCTCATTATTATCTGAAATTTCTCCAGTATGCAGCTAGAGGTGAATAGTTTTAAAATTCATCTTATTCTGTACATGGAGAGACTGCTTAATTAAAAGATGTGTATCTTTTTTCTGATCAGAAAAATATTATATTATTTTAAAACTGTTTCTTTCCCTGTATTTATCCCTTTAAGACTTTTATTAGTTAATATTAGACCTTTTAATCTATATCACTGAGTTTTTATCTTTATTTTCTATCTCTTAGTTTTACTACTCAGTGTTCAGGGATATATCTGGGATGTCATGTCCAAAATAATAAAATTGACCTTCTGCTGAATGACATTATGATATAGTGAGAAATATTTGATCTTCTTCCCTGGTCCCCCAGCACAGCGCTCCTAATGTAATACAATACATTAATATTTGGTTTTTGTCCCCAGTTCCAGAAATAGTTCTGAAATGATAAAGGTGAAAGGAGCATCTTTTGTGATTCATAACAAGCCCCTTTGAACCACACTTGCATTTAAGTTAAGGAAGTGACTTTGGGAAAGCCCCTAAAATGGGGGCTGGTTGCCAGGGGAACCAACCATGTGATTGGAGGGTGGGACCGTTCAGCACCACACCCCTAGCCTCCTGGATGTGGGGAGGGCCTGGAGGCTGACTTACTCACCAGTGGTCAATGATTTAATCAATCATGCTTAAGTGAAGGAGCCTCCACAGAAATCCTGACAGAATTGGTGAACAGATAGAGTTGTGGGGAGGGTAGCACACCAGCAGAGGGCATGGGAACTCTGTATCCCTTCCTTCATGCCTTGTCTGCCATCTGTCTGTTCCTGAGTTATATCTTTTTATAATACACCTGTAATCTAGTAAGTGAACTGTTTTCCGGAGTTCTCTGAGCAATTCTAGCCAATTATCTAATTCAATTTATAGCTGGTTTGACCGAAATACAGGATGTCTGGACTTGCAGTTGCGTCTGAAGTGGGGCAGTCTTATGGGTCTGAGCCTCTAACCTGCGGGATCCAACACTAACTCCTGGTAGATAGTGTCAGAATTGAACTGAATTGTAGGATACTCAGCTGGTATTGGAGATTTGGTGAGTGTGGGAAAACACACACACACACACACACACACACATTGGTATTGGAAGGAAGTATTGAGAATAGAGTAGATAAACATTGTTTACTGTTAAACTGTATCCATTTTATTTTTCAGCCTGCCCACTATTTTTCACAATCATGTTTTTAACGTCTAATGATTTGTTCCTATCCACTTCCTCTTTTTTCGTATTACCTTTGTTTGTTTGTTTGTTTTCAGATGCAATTCTTTCTCGGGATATTGATGGGAGTTTTCAAGAGTTCCTTTTGTTCCTTAAATTACGTATTTTTTCTGGAGTTAGTTATTCTGTTTGTTCATTTTGGCTCTTCTCTTTTATGCTGCTGATTTTCCTTACATTTTTAGCGATCCTTGGTTGTCTATTCATATTCATGAATGAAGAGTATATTGGTTAACTTAGACAGCTAGTTCTCAGGGCTTCTCTGAAATCGTGCAGGCCCGGCACTGTGGGTGACTCCCTTGGAGGTCCTGTGTGTGGAGCGCCCTTAGAGGGGCCCATCTCATTCACAGCTGGCCCTCTGGGAGGGAGAGGTTTCCCTGGGAGGAGAATGCTGTGATGTATCTTCCTCTTGGTGAAGCTTCCAGTCCTGCTTGTGACCCCTCTTTGTCGGCACTGCAGGTCCTTAACCTAGAGTCTGTTCTCAGATGGTCTTTACAGACTAGATCGCAGCCTTATCCTATGGGCAAAAGTGGCAGCCCAAACTAACCAAGATGTCCAAACTGATGTTGCGTGGTGAATACGTGGTCACTGGTTGCCCTTGATCCAATCCTCCTCTTTGCATATACTGACTTGACTTGAACTGTTACCAGGCTCCCTCTGGTCCCTCCTTCTGTGTATCCTGGTTAACCCCGGTTCTTCCTCCCTTTCACAGGTTTTCCAGCCCCACCTGCTTTCTGGCTTCTAGGAAGTCTTCAAAACTTCTGTTTGTTAATAACGC